CAGGACAGCACAATTCAAGGTACTCACAAAAAAGAGCTTCCAGAACTGCTTCAGAAAGTGACAAGAAAGATGGAATAAGTGTATTCAAAACAAGTTGGAATATTTTCAGAGGAATTAATGGCAATATATCTTTTACTATGATAGTTAAAAAATTAAAGGTTCACTGCATTTTCAGCTATACCATATATATATATATATGCATATATGTGTATGTGTATTTATTTTAGGAAATTGGCTCGCATAGTTACACAGATCAGGTGCCAGGATCTGAAGAGTGTCTTCAGTAGACTGAAGAGCTAGCAGAGCTGATAGCACAGTTCCAAGTCTCAATGTTGTGGGGCTCAGGAAGAGACAATGTTTTAGTTCTAAAGAAAGGAAGAAAGAAATGTTTCAGTCCTAAAGACGCTATGTGCTGAGTGTTTCTGTCTGACTCAGATTTTATGTGTTGAATTTCTAGCCTCCTATGGGATGGTATCAAGTGATAGGCCTTTGGAAGGGGATTAAGAAACTTATGAAAGAGAAACTGGGGAGGCCCTGGAGAAGCCCTTCCACCTAGTGAGAACACAGAAGATAGCCATCATTGCACTAGGAAGCATGTCCTCACCAGCCAATGGGTCTGCCAGCATTTTGACCTTGGACTTCTCATTCCCCAGAACAACGATAAATTCATTTCTGTTATTTATGAACTACTCAGACCATGGCATTTCATTATAGTAGCCTGAATGGGCAAAGACATGGGCCATCTGGCAGGAAAGTTTCTGTATTCCATCCAGAGGGTCAGCCTTGGTGCTTTTTTCAGGCACTCGACTAATGGACAAAGTGCACCTACATCACAGAGGGCAATTTGCTTTAGTTAGTGTATCCACTGAATTATTAATTTCATTCTGAAACACTCACAGAAATACTCAAAATAACATTTCACCAAATATCACAGGGCCCAGTCATTTGACACATAAAATGAACTGTCACAAACCTGTAATCAGTTTAAAACTTAGTAAGGTATATTAAAATGCTCTTTTTGAGCCAATTATTTGAAATCTGGTATATATGGCACATATAGCTCATCTCTTTTAGACTGGCCACATGGCTAGTACTCAGGAGTGACATGTGGCCAGTGGCTACTGTAGTGGACAATTAGCATTATGTCATAGGTCAGTGCACACTGTCTTTCCTTTTGCTTCAGCTCTTAGTTTTTTGCGGGATTCTCACGCATCTTTGAAGTCCTGATATAGTCCTGTGCTGAGAACCTAGCTGTTGAGTAAATGTGTACTGAATGGAAGAACGATTTTTAAAAGTCTGGGTAATTCATGGGCCTCAGGCCCACAACAAACCATTACATTTCTTCTTTTGTCAAATTCCCTTGGCGGTCTCGGGGAAAGCTATTAACTGATATTTAACAATTCCCTTAAATCAGTTGCCAAATGGTCAATGGGGTGATGAAGATTAGAACTGGCTGCAAAGAAGATCAGTTGTCCCATTCATATTTCATTTAGCCATTGTAAAATTATCATAATAGTTTGAATACATTATGACTGTAATGGCTGGATAGTAATTGTATATCATTTGGATATTTTCAATCAAGGCATTGACCTAGATATATCAACCATATGTATATGATCGAATCTATCAAGAAAGGCATCCCTAAATGTGTTTGGGAAAGGTGGAAATGGGAGGGAGGAATTAGTTATATGCAGTCGTATTTGATTGATTCTCTGACTTCCTGTAGCTATCATTCTGAATACCACAGAATGTGTACAAAGTCATTCGATGGTACTGGGTCACCAGGGAAACCTGGCCGCCCTCTGAGAGCCCCAGCTTCACGTCACTGGCGAAGAGCCCGCTCCTTAATTCTAGGCTGTTATAGCCTTCTTGGTGTCCCAGGGACAGGGACTGCAGCAGGGACTCTTGGGATTTCAGATGTAATTAAACAACACAAAGTATCATCACATGCAACGAATGTACTATAAACATCGTCTCTTCTTGCCAGAACAAAGACCTTGAGGATTAGTTAACAACTCAAAACACAAATAATGATTACATTGAAGCAGTTTATCTAAAACACAGTCTTGAATGTCTTAGCTAAAATAAAGCTCTCTAGATTTGTTCCCTAGGAGATGACACTGAGCTGAGACTGTAGTCACATCTGTCATCCCATTCATTTTTCCAGATCATTTTGTGTTTTCCATGATTTATGTATGGTATGTAGTTGAATCTGTCATATCGTCTCATTCATTCCAAAGTATATATTACAGTAAATTGCTATTGTAATCACTTGCGCTATGATTCATCTTGGCCAATATTTTAGGGGCTATCTGTTATTTTTCCACACGTAGACATGACCATAAACTATTTTGTTCATGCTATGAAAAAATCAATAGCTACAGTCAAAGGAAAATCCATTAAAAAGAGGAGATAACAATAAGTCTTTAATCTTCTTCTCTACTCTCTCTGAGGAAAATCTTCCAGATGTTGAGAGCTGGAACAGATGGGGACACAGAGGACAATACACAGCCAGGGTTGCTGCCAACTGTTCAAAGTGGAATTACCTTGAGATTTCTCACAAGAATTAGCAGAGCTGGAGGCTCTGGAAAAACATGGAATAACACTGTCGCTTTTCAGGCCACTTAAAAGCTAATCATGAAAGGAATAATACATTCAACATTCTGGATGTTGAAACTTCATATATGGCCCTATTATTGGAATTATGTATGTGTTAGATCTCTTCTCCCTTGACTTAGACGTTCATAATGGGAGTGAAATTTGGTCCTTGATCAATGATCAATTAAATTCAGAAGCTGACTGAGTTTGGTGTGCTCAGAGGAGGGATTCCGACTGCGCCACCTGCTAGGCAAGATGCTGTGGTTACCGCTCACCTGACAGTGGGTGCTCGCCCCATTTTCAGCCTTCTCCTGCACACCCCACCTGGACGGTTCTGCAGAGGAGACCTCTGGTGTCAGATGCACCTGGGCTTCTGTCTGCCTTACTTGTTGGTGCGATACAATAACTGACACCCGCAACTTAAAGGAGGAGAAGTTTGTTTTATTAATCATGGTCAGCTGGCTCCAAGGAAAGAAGGGCATGGTGGAGGGAGCTGCTCACATCATGGTGGCCTGGAAGCAGAGAGGGAAGGAAGGAGCTGGGAAGGAAGATACACCCTTCCAGGTCACATCCCCAGTGACCTGACCTTCTGTCCAGACCCCGCTTCCTGACGGTGCATTCCACTCTGAACTCCCCGGTGGACTTAGTCACCTTGGAGTTGGGTGCCTTCCTGAGCCTAATCACCCTTCAAAAGCTCCATGTCTGAACACATGGGTCTTTTGGAAGACATTTTAGATCAACCATTACAATAAGTTTCGTGGCTCCATTACCTGCCAATTCTGGGTCTGTGGGCATCATGGTGCCACTAGCTAAATAACAATGTGTTTTCTCTATATTGTCCTCTATCTTTTGTTGATGGTGTCTATAGACACAGCACATCAAATTTAAAGTAAACATTCACAGCCGAAATACTTTTAGAATATTTCATCCGTGGCAAATTTAGTCTTGGCTCTTTTCCCAAATGTGTAACAAGAGGGAAAAAAAATTCTACACCTTTTTTGCTGGTGATCAGCTTTAGACTGCTTCTTAGACCAACAGAGAGAATCACTGATGTGGCTAATTTGGAATGCCATAAAGACACAACTGCTTTTATGCGAAAGCCATCTTTTTTGTACTTGGGTAATTTTCATCATGTCAAATAGACCTGTGGTCACGCTTAAGTATCAAACATAAAAATAGTTTGGCCCCAAGCTTAGAAAATCTAGTAACAGCAATTAAACCTTAACATATAAACCAGGGGTGGTACTTTTTCTCTGACAAGAAAAATGATTAGGTTATGATTTATCATTGGGCTCCTTTAATCAAACATTCTCAAAGGGGCCAGTTCTGCCCTCTAGGGAACAACTTGGATGCCACAGTAACTGAAGCAGTGTTACTGACATTCAGTGAGGATTAGTTGGGGGTGCCTCACTGTCTCAGTACTCAACAATTCTGCACAAATACATTGTCTCTCAGCCTGCACAGCCCTGAATGCCCCGTGGGACACTTGCATCAGTGTAAAAGCTATTCTTAATGATCAAGTTTGAGTAGAACTCTGCTGTATATTTGGCTATCACTGAATGATGATGTCTCCATGATTCAGGTTGACATTTAATCCCCATGGAGTAGAATTAAGGTAAGTGGCTTTCGGATGATGGTTAGGTCAGGGAGGCTCCCCCCTCATGAGTACAATCAGCAAAAAGGGCGAAGGTTGAAAGGAGTGCACTCTTCCCATTTGGTCTCTTCTGCCCTGCGAGGACACAGTGTTCCTCGTCTCCAGAGGTCACCTTGGAAAGGCACCTTCTTGGAAACACAGAGCAGCCCTCCCCGGATACCATACTGGTTGGTTCCTTTCTGTCAGACTTCTCAGCCTCCAGAACTTGAGAAATAAGTTTCTATGGTACATCAGTTACCCAGTTTATGGTATTTTGTTGTAGCGGCACAAATGGAATAAGGCACACATCAACCTAATGTGGTAATACGGGTGGGGCACGGTTTTATTTTATTTTATTTTTTTGTTGGTACCGGGGATTGAACTCGGGTCCTTGAGCTTGCAAGGCAGGCCACCGAACCGCTGAGCTAAATCCCTGGCCCTACAGTTTTAATAATATATGAGAAGTTTCCTAGAAATCCAGTTACACTAAAAATTGAGGGAATATTTTACTACTTTGGTTTGGAAACTCATCAAAGGTTGGTTACTCCTCTGGTTTATACTGTGTTCCCCTTCAAATCTAGATTTTGAAGCTCTAACTCCTGGCAGTTTTGAATGTGACCCTTAAGAAATGGGACTTTTATTTCTCTCTCTCTCTGTCTCTATCTCTCTCTCTCTCTTTGAGATGAGGCTTTTAAACAGATAATTGAGTTAAACTGAGATCCTTACAGTGGGGCCTGATCTGATATCATGGGTATCTTTACAAAAACAGGAGCTTGGGGCATGGACAAAGTGACATCAGACAAGTACATGCACAGTGGTGCGAGCCCATGAAAACACAGAGAGAAGACAGCCATCTGTAAGCCAAGTGGGGAGGCCTCAGAAGAAACCAAACCGGCCAGCTCCCTGATCTGCAACTCCCAGCCTCCAGCACTGTGAGAAAATAAACTGATATTGTTTCAGCCACTCAGGCTGTGGTATTTCATTATGAAAGCCCTAGTAAATTGAAAAATCACATCCACGATATTAGAGCTCTTGTACAGCCTTTTGTGTCTCCAATATAGCACATGAGTAGCCATTGCCTTCGTAATGGTTCTACATTAGCATAAGCATCTGACTGTGTTATGAGTGGTGTTGACAAGGCCCAGCATTTCGTCATGAGCCCTTTCTTATCTGCCTTTTTTTTTTTCCAGTACCGGGGATTGAACTTGGGACCTTGTGCTTTCGAGGCAGGCGGTGAAACCACTGGAGTCATTCTCCTTTCTTTCCTTCTCCTTTTCCTCCTCCTCTTTGTCTTCCTCCTTCCTCCTCCCTCTCCTCTTGTATCCTTCACCCTTCTCTTACCCCTCCTCCTCTTCCTCCCCCTGTTGCTTCTCCTACCTTCCCTCCTTCTTCTCCCCCCTTTCTCCTTCTCCTTCTTTTTGTTCTTCATTTGAGATACTGGGATATTAGGCTTGTGATACTGAAACTAGGATTTTCACACTAAGCTACTTCTCCAACTCTTTTAACATTTTTCTTTCATTTTTGAAACGGGATCTCTCTGTCACTAAATTGTCCAGGCTTAGCCTTCCGGAGTGCTGGGGTCGCAGGCATGTGCCACTGTGTCCATTGACATTTGTAGTATTTTATTAGAAATTCCCTTTGTCTATTTTAGCCATCATATGTGTTAAGCTAATAATTATATTCTACTTTGGCTGGGATGCGGGCTGTGTGTCAGGATTTCCCAAAGGTCCCTAGGTGATTCCAATGTGTTGGCAGAGCTGATAACCATTCTTCTGGAGGGTTGTTTGATTCTCTTTCTATTAAAAAGGCCTTGGTCTTGGGACAGCTTAACAACTCATTTGTCATCACAGGAGGTAGTGAGAGTGGCCTTTGGAGGCTTTCAAGGCTTCACGATAAAAGGAGACCCCTGCTCCCACCCTGCCTGTCTCTGAGTCTGTCTCCCTTCAGGGCACTGATCAACACGGCAGGAAGGACGTCCTGTGCTGAAGCTGCCATGTGGGCGGATGGTGTAGGGACAGCGGAGGGATGGAGTGATGTCCGAGGAGTGCCAGCTTTTCACCTGCGTGCGTCCCCTCCTCTCTAGGCACCAGCAGTGAGTAGCGAGTGGGCAAAGCCTCAAGGTGACCTTTGATTGCAGCTGTGGTGAGACGCCAAGGGGGGCTTGCCAGGTGATACAGCCCCATGTTAGAGAATATGTGGGGTGATACTTCACGGAGCCTCTGTTTGGAGTGGTTTGTGGGGTAGTAATAGAAAATATAAGTGAGCCCTGTTCTGAAGTAAGACACTGACATTTGCAAAGCTCTTTCTTTGATAGAAGCAGAGAGTTGCTCTGTGCCCTCTGGATCACAGTAGGATGGAAGGTATGCTCTCTTCTCTCTAGCAGGACCACAAGAGTCTCCTGCACTCAAGTTCCCTTCGGGTTTCTGTTTATCAGGCCTCATTTACTTCTAACCTACTGATAGGAGGAGGGCAAGAGATGGAAAGGGGCTTGGGGATGGGGTAGATGGGGTGTGGGGAAGGAAAGGGGAAGGATCAAGATGCGATATGTGAATGCACCAATTCTCCATGATGAATGTATTTATTGTGTATATAAACATATAATAAACAAGGAACAAACAAACCACAACAACAAATATAGAAAAACCCTTACCAACTCCACTGCAAAGGACTATGGCATAGGATTGAACTGATTAAGGGAACGTAGAGGTAGAGACACTTGTATTTCCTTTACCTCCTGGTTAGTTCATATCTTACACTCTGAATTTGCAGAGTTAGTGAGAAATTTATTTCTTTTCCTGACAAATTTATGGCACACGTGGATGAATGACAACAAATCTAGAGGCTGATAGAACTGGAGTTTCCACTCATCTATTAACCTCACTGCAGGCTGACAGATCTAACACAAGCCAAAGCTAACAGACAGCCCATCACTGTTCCCAGTGCAGCCATAGGGACAGAGTAGCACGGACCTGGCTCACAGATGGGCCCTGAATGTCCTAACGTAATCTTTTTAGAAGAAACTGGGCAATGAGCGGAACGTCTTAAATGCTTTAGGTGGCTTCTCTCAGAGGGTCAGCCAGAAGGCAGAATGCACCAGTAACATAACAGTGGAAGCATTTTGTCTTTCTGGAAGGCACTTTCCTGTGCCAGCTTCCATTTAATCCCTTTGTGAGTGGTCCCTCTGTGAGAGAATCTGTTCCTTACTTAGGGGGCAGCTGGAGCCCAGGTGAGGTTGGATGGTCATGGGAATCTGGGAGGTGTGGTTTCCTAAAACATGCTGAATCCTTTTGCTAGAATTCTTGTACATCTGTGAGTCAGGCTCACTGTTTCTAGGGAGTGGAGGGGGCTTCACATTAGAAATCCTATGGCAGTTTTTTCATAGAAGCTAATCTGGAAAACCCAGCTCCAGTATAGAATTTGGGGCTTCCAGACTAAGAGACTGCTGGTTCCCCATCTTCTAAGTAGGTCTTCTTAGAGGGTAGTGGAAAAAATTGGCAATCTTTACAAGGGACTCAAATGATTTTCTCTTGTCTGAGAGAGTATTCAGCGAATCAAAACTTTATTTATAGGTGAAGGAATCTAATGATATATGGGGTTTGCAAGCTTCAGGGGAGGGTAGGAATATTTTTCTGGGACTTCTGAGATAGAAAGGAATGAGACTCCCAGTACCTTTGCCTGAACTCTCTCTGGGAAGCCAGGGATGGCTCCGAGCAGGGTCCAGTGGCAGGAAGGACCTGAGAGAAATCAACTGGAAGGGAGAAAGATACAGGAACAAGGCAGGTGGAAGAACTGCTAGGTATGGAGAGACCAAGCAGGGACCAGAATGAGTACATCTGCTGAGAACCAGGCAGTGGAGGGGTAGATCCAGGTAATCATTCGCCCGCTGCTGTGAGCCTGTGGACGCCAGGCCATTACTTGATTCTCCCACTGCGAGTCAGACCACCATACTTTCACATTGGTATGGTACTTGCAATTCGCAAATTGAGTACGGATCAATTTTACTACTTAAGTCTCACAATTTACTGAAGAAGTAGACGGGAAAGTTATTATGCATGGACTGTTCTCATTTTACAAATCAGAAAATTAACTAAGTTCACCTAGGGAGAAAGCAGTTGTCTACACCGAATAATGGCTCGCACTCATGAAGCACTTAAGATGTGCCAACCACTGCTACCAGGGTTTCACTTGTCTTAGTTCATTTAATCCTCCCCATGTGCTGTTGTTGTTCATGTCTCCCTTGTTTTACAGAGGAGCAAATGGTGAGAGGCGAGCGAGCGGCACGTCTCTTCCCTTATTATTAGCTCATATTTTTTATTTATTTTAATTGACAAATGATGGTCTATCCACCCAATGCTTTGATCTAGGCATATATTATGCATTCAGTGAAGTTAATTAATATAGCTATCACTTTACCAATTTGTCACTTTTTCATATTTTGTGATGAAAGATTAAGAGTGTATTCTTTCAGCAATTTTGAAATATGCAGTCCATTATTACTCACTGTGACCAGCATGGGGTGCAGTATCTCCCTAGCACTTGGACCTTTAGTTTACCCAGGACTTTGTACAACTTCCCTTTCCTTAGCTCTTGCCTCTAACTTCTAGTAACCACCTTTCCATGTCTGTGAAACCAGCCTTAGATTCTGTATTTGAGATAAAGCAGTATCGTCTTTCCGTGCTGGCGTATTTCATTTGCCATGATCCATCCAGATCCATCCCCATTCTGCAGAAGCAGAATGCTGACTGCCTTTGAGAAAGCTGCACCCACAGCTGTTACTTAGATACCAATGTGACCCCTGTGTGAGGTTTGGGACATGATGCCCCAGGCTATGAGAGGAAACTGGGGTCAGATGGAGTCAGGTTAATTTACAGTTGATTATGCTATTTCTTATATATTTTATAACATCCATTTGAATAAAGAGGACATTCATCAGGCTAACAGTATGGGAATGTTTTTTCCGGTTTCCAGTCCCATGATGTGAACAGCCTGGAAATTTCACGGAAGTCAAAGATCTTGATTTCATTTAATTTCAGATTTTGGTGCCAGAGCCAACACACGCAGGTCAGTGGGACAAAGGAAGTTCTAGACCAAAGGGTGAGAGCTTTAGGATGTGTCCTGAGACAGAATGACAGGATGGAGAGAGGGAACATGGTGAGGTTTATTGCACTGACTGGCTGGAACTCGAGAATTCAATTGTTGGTGAATTAACCTTTCTTTATTCCAGCCTCAGTTTTCTAATTTGTAAGATGCGTACTATGATATCAGGATTTGGGGAGGACTAAATGAATTAATGTATACAAAGCCTGAGCACAGAAAGCCTGGGCACACCACTACTGACATTAGGGCTCAAAATCATTCTGAGGGATTGCAGCGTCACTAGCATCCTTGGACTTTACCCACTAGGTGAGTGTAGGGCTCCAACCTCCCAGCTTTCCACAATCAAATATATCTCCGAATGTTGCTACCTGTCCCCTTTTGGCAGATGACTGAGAATCATAGATTTATACACAGTTATATAAAGGTGTTCATTTGCTAAGACTGCCACAATCAGAGTGACTTAAACAACATAGACGTATTTTTTTTATTTTTTCAGTTTTGGAGGCTAGAGGTGTGATCATGGGGTTGGCAGGATTGATTCCTTCTGAGGCTGTGGGAAAATCTGTTCCATGCTTGTCCCCAGCTTGTGGTGGTGCTGGCAACCCTTGGTGTCACTGGGCTTGTAGATAAATCATGCAGACGATGACTGCCTTGATATTCCTGGTGTACTCCTATGAGCGTGTGTCTGTGTCCTGGTTTCCCCTTTTTTAAGGACACCAGTTGGTCTCTTTTAGATGAGGAGCCACCCTGATGATCTCATCTTAACTGACAACGACTGCAGTGACTTCTAAATAAGAATGCACTCTGAGGCACTGACAGGACTCTGACATAATATTTTTGGGGGCACAACTCAACACAT